AGCGATCCACTTAAATTTATATGTATTTGTGTAAAGTAACATTTAAATTTGATTAAAATTATCTGAATCAATTAAAGCAAAGTCATTACTATATTAAATGCAAAACCAAACATTGGCCATGATGAATGTCTTAATTATTTTGAAAAATGAAATATGCAATGTAATTATTTTTATCAGAGTTCTATTTGGAATTTTCCTAGATTTCATATTTAGTGAATTGATTTATAACAAGAACAGTGATACTTCTTTTTAAAAATAAAAGTTAAAACTACCTAAAATGTTAAATTCTGATTTACAAGTCGTTATTGCCACCTGCTGGTTATACAGTTTCATTGCATTTTTTGCAAAAATTACCCATCAGGTTCACTGAAAGACAAAAGGGAAAACGAAAACGGAGGTGAGGCTTAGATATAGATGACTACATTCAAAATCTCTAAGTGACAGAAATACATGATTTGCTAAATCATGAGATCACTTCATTTCAAAGAGAATAAGATACGGTGAGAATATATTGTATTAAATCAAATAATAGTGTATTATTTTGTCAATTCACCACAGCATACTATTCTAAGTTATTGTCATTAATAACTATGTAGTTAAATATGACTGAAACAACTGCTCAAAGTTAGTAGGTCAAAATAAGTGAAATGGTAGAGAAGTCATGAAATGATGAAAACCTATCATGATGCTAGTCAACTGAATAAAATTCAATGCCCCCTTTCTCTTCCCCTAACGAAATCCATTCTCCACTGAGTAAGAGGATGCCTAGTTATTTAGGCAACTGTTCGCCAGTTTTCTGAGTTAACTAGTGAACCTAGAACTTGTATTACTGTTTAATAACAAAACTAATGTATAACTTAATGACAAAGAATCCAGGTAAGCAAAAAATTAAAACGAATACTCATCATTTTATTCTGAATATGATCAATCTAGAGCAAGATATAAAACTTTTTTTATTAAGCACGTACTAAGCTTTTTATTATCATTAAGCACGTACTAAGCTTTTTATTATTATTAAGCACGTACTAAGCTTTAAATAGTAGAGTGGCTAAGCTATTCGCTTTCGCACGCTGCTAATTTCCCATAGACGAGTCCTTTATGTAAAAGGCCTGGACTGGAGCCTAGCATATGGTTAATTCTCCATGTTCGCCATGTATCTGAATCATATACACATCTCCTGCTTCTTTTCCCTTTAACACTAAATGAGTGTTTTCCTATATCATTATTCATTCAAAATGACTTCAGTCAACTTGGTAATGAATGCTGCACTGTCCGAGTTTCTATCATTTATTTGATGTTGAGGTTATTTCTAATTTTTAACTTGATAGAAATGACAGTACAATAAACATTCTTATAAAAATGTTTTAATGATAAAAATGACCATATTTGTACTTTCACGGGCGGTAAGAATATGCTTTATTCTCTTAGGACACCGAGGGATCCAAAGAATTGGAAACTCCAGGCAACGAGCAAAGAAGTTGATTAAAAGGGGAAACCTAGTTAATAGAGGATGTGCACGTGGGGGCGTTCCCTGGGGGGTCTGCGCCTGGGGCGGTGCTTGTGGGGGCGGTGCTTGTGGGGGCGGTGCTTGTGGGGGAGTACGTAGGGAGGGTTGCGCGCCGGTATCCTGCACCCGTGGAAGGCTGACTACGTGAGACGGTGCGCGACGGGAGCTTCAGACTGTAGGAAGCTGGCCACATAGGACTCTCATGCTCGCGGGGGGACATCGACAGGCTGCCCACGCGGCGAGCCTTCCTATCTCGTAAGCGGCTCCACAGGAGGGCCCCGCCTTTACCTCGCGAGCCTCCTCCGGGGTCTCAAAGTCCCCCGTTACAGATCGGTAGAGCTCGGTGAGGCGCGAGCCAGTCATATTTCTTAGCACCTAGGGCGATCGCAAATTTAGCGAACCAGAGGAGGAATTAT